GGGGCGACCGGCGGGCACAGGCAGGTCCAGTCCTGCAATTTTCACTCGCCAACTTTAGCATTTTTCGCGCTCAGAAAAATCAAGAAAAACATCTGAAAATTTGAGATCTGTAGATTACATCGTCATCTTTCCAGGAAAAGTATCAGAAAAAAAAAATAAAAAAAAATTATCCCATGAAATAAATGCCGTGCCAATTCGTCACATTTCCCATTTCTGCCACTCCGCAACTTGTGGGCCAACGGGAAAAATAGTAAAATACCCCAATTTCAGCAATTTTTCACGCTCAGAAGAATATGTAAAACAAAATCTGAAAATTGGACGGTCTGCACATTTGGTCGTGATCTTTGCAGGAAAAACATATATAAAATAAATAACAATTGTTTCAACCACGAAATAGGTCGTGGCGGCAATTCATCGCATTTTCCATTGTCGCCGCTGTCCCCGTTCTCCGCACTATGCTACCGGTAGCCTCGTGAACCTGTGCTACCGGTCCCCCGAATTTCCAACGTGGGGTAGAGTGGTGGTTTAAGTGCACGTTTCACAGTGGCTTGGCAGGTTAACTTGGTGGTTTAAGCAGAAATTACACAGTAGCTTCGCAGGTTAACTTAGGGGACATTCTCCTCTGTGTGCAGGTTCCAAAACCCAGTGTACGTAGTCCAAATTTGAACATGACCTGTCCGATTGTGATTGTCGGGTTTCTTAAACCACCACCACTACCTCCGAGCCTCTCCTTTTGCCGAGGCGGACTCCCACTGTGCGCCACGCTTCGCCGAAGAGCCAGAGTGGCGTTCTTTTTTCCTTCTTTTGGCTACCGTCTTCACTCGACGAGAACGCCCGGTCATTATAGCTGTATTTTCACAACTTTCAGCAAAGATGCAGCGATAATTACCCGTCGTTCTATTCGGGTGACGACGGCAGCGCCCCCAGCCATCAGGGTCTGGTAGCCTCGCGCCTCTGAAGAACCCGGAATGTTACATTTTCGATTCCCAGTGTCGCCAGGGAGCCTCGTTTTTTTCTTCTTTTGGTTATTCCTTCCACATCCGTCGCCTCCTCCTCCTCCTCCTCCTCCTCCTCCTCCTCCTCCTCCTCCTGCTGCTGCTGCTGAGCCTCGAGCCAGATATAACATGTGCTACACGTCCATCCCCACTTGCAGCCAACAAGTTTACCAAAACTAACTCCAACAATGGCTCAGGAAGTGCGCTTCAGCTCAGTTCGCAGGAGCACACATGCAATCAGAGTGCAGACAGAATATGACAAAAGAATAGAAAAGGGCGCCTCATTGAGCAAGGGAAGAACAGATAGGACTAACGAGGCTCACCGAGGGAGATAACTACCACCATCGGATTGCTTTCCACTTACAAGGCTTGCCTTAACAGTCACTGGCTTCATCAGAACAACCCAATTGCAACAACAACTGTATTCACTGTCTGCCAAAGCATCTCAGAAAACAGCTCCAGTTGAGCTGCTCAAGGAGACATGAGACCCTCTCAACGAGAGTTCGACTGCCACCAAACTCCTGTTCACAGACCCCCTGACCTCGTCCAACCCTGCCCTGCTTTTGCATCATCTGCCATTTCTCCGCATCTTTTCCTGCCACATCCGTCGCCTTGTCCTGTTCACAGAACACCTGACCTAGCCCAACCTTGCCCTCCATTTGCATCATGTGCCATTTCTCCCCCTCTATTCCTCCCACATCCGTAGAATCTCCTCCTCCTGCTGCTGCTGAGCTGTCTCTACACGACGCAAGTATTCCCCCCGCCCATACAAGGCACTGCTCAAGGACACATGAGATCCACCTGGCCACACTTGGACACCCTAACCTCTCTCTGCAAACCATGCGCTTCGGATTCTTGCCTCTCTTTGCAGGGCTGTGCCCCTTCTTCCCCCACACTCCTCCCTCATCCCTCCTCGTCCTCGTCCTCCTCCTCCCGCTCATGTATCTCTACAAGTTTGTCGAAAGTACAGCACTCGCCTTCCACCTCCGTTAGCAACTCTGCTCAGCCCCTTCTACTCCACCCCCACCACTCTGAACCCCACACCACCTTTCCCCCTGCTGCTGCCACCTCCCTCCTTCCACCAATCAGAATCAGAGCTTGAGACATTTAGGAAGGGCCAGAATCCTAGTTCACTCATTGGATCTCCCAGTGGCAACAAGCATGCATCTGTCTCAGGGAAAGAAATTCAAACAATACTGGAACCTCCCTCCAGGGAAAGGTTTAGTTAATCTGATCCCTTGTAAACCAAGATGCCCCCCCACTCTGTACAGGGACTTCATTACCAAGGCGCGGAACAGAGGAAAAAGGGCAAAACAAGCTCTCCACTACATGCACAGAGAAATACCACACAGCACGAAAACATGCATTGCAAACAAGCCGAAACAACGGAGCAGAAGTTGGGGTCGTCACTCCCACAAAATTAGCGGCTAATTAGCGGCTTCGGGAAAACAGAGAGCATCACATACCTTTGTGCCGATGCTGACCATATGCCCATCAAGATGGGGAATCTTCTTTTCAAATCCTACCAGCGCATCAACCTGTGGCATCACAAGCGAATACAGTACAGCAGCTTCGTTAACAAGGCTCAGAACAGAGGAAGAAGGGAAAACCAAGCTCCCCACTACATGCACAGAGACGTACCACACATCACAAAAAAATATGCATTGCAAACAAGCAAAAACAATGGAGCAGACGTTGGGGTCGTGTGACTCTCAAAGTAACCCCCAAAGTAACCCTATAGTAAATTTCATGATGGCAACTGGGCAGCGGCCCGATCCATGGAGGAAGACGAGGCAAACCATAGCAGCAAATCAAGTCAATGGAAACCTGACCCGATCACAAACCAAGAAAAGCCGAGAAAGCTGAGAAAACTGAATTCCAAAGAAACCAACACTCCCATTGTGTGTGTGTGTGTGAGAGAGAGAGAGAGAGACAGACAGACAGAGAGAGAAAGAGCAAGAGAGAGAGAGAGAGAGAGAGACAGAGGCTATATTGAGGTGAATGCTTGCCCCATATGGCATGCCATCTTCTCACAGGGACTGAAAGAGAGAGCGAGAGAGAGCGAGAGCGAGGGCGAGAGCAAGAGCGCGAGAGCGAGAGTGAAAGTGAGAGCGCGAGAGCGAGAGCGAGAGCGAGCAAGAGCACGAGCAAGAGCAAGAGCAAGAGCAAGAGCAAGAGCGAGCAGGAGCAAGCAAGACCAAGAGTGAGAGAGAGCGCACAAGAGACAGAGAGTGCGACACGGAGAGAATACTAAAAAAGGTGGTAGTGTGAGAGCGAGAGAGAGCAAGAGCGAACGAGAGAGAGAGCGCGGGAGCAAGAGCGCGAACGAGAGTTGGAGTGCGAGAGCAAGAGCGAGAGAGAAAGCGCAAGAGACAGAGAGAGCGACAGAGAGAGAGAGTACTAAAAGAGCTGCTACCGTCTTAACCCGAAAACAAGGTAAGCACCTTGTATTCAAGTTACCTTCAAAAAACGAGTTCTAAGAAATCGCTGTTAAATTTTTGAATATAAGGAACCCTCGAATACAAGATACGTACCTTGTGTTCGAGGTGTGCGTTGTAACTGTCACGTACCACTCTCTCTCTCTCTCTCTCTCTCTCTCTCTCTCTCTCTCTCTCTCTCTCTCTCTCTCTCTCTCTCTCTCTCTCTCTCTCTCTCTCTCTCT